CCTGATCGAACAAGGGCTACTAGCCAGCCAACCCACTTAGCAGCTTTAGCAGAAGGCAGATGCAGGAGGGAGTTGCAAGGCTTGGGCATGCTCAAATAGAATTTCCGTGCTTCCCACAAAAACAGTGGCAACAGCGACAACGTTGCGAACATATTCAATTTATAAGTGGGGATCTGTATTAAAGTGACTTTACGCTTAAAAGGTCGGCAGGTCGACTGTACGGAGAGGTTAGGTACAGTCGTGCATTATAAACGTAAACGGTCAAAACAGCTAGCGTCGTAGGGCCCCGGGGCGTTGGAGTTCGAAATCACTTTATGTGCCTTATAAAAATTGTGTAAAACAGGCAAAATTGCACTTTTCAGTTATTAGTGATTAATTATTGACATGAGGGCTGCAATTAAAATCCTGAAAATGATGTCATCAGATTCTATTCTCAAATTACACACGTCATGTAGCCACAGAAACACCGACGAAACACGTGTGGACTTTTAGTTTTGTGCCTATGTTTGGAGTATGGTATACCAACTTTATGAAAATACAAATTCGCCGAAAAATTTGAAATTGTAATGCATAAATTTCCTAAACTGGTCCTTCAGGTCGTCGTCAAACTATGAAATGTGTACCAAAACAATCTACTTATTAACTGTGTATAAAAAGGGATTGCACAGTTGGGCGACATTTTCGTCAATACGCGTTACGGGCATTCGGTCATCCCGTCGTAATTGACTGTACGCGTTTGAGTTTGTCCTTGATGTTTTCGTATGTGATATCTAAACCAAATGCCGATTTATGTATACCTCAGCTGATTGCGCGGCCTTTTCTGCTTGGACGGGTGCCAACAATTCGTGTGTTCTCCCACGCAAATTTATGTCTGATTTCCAGTTCGCGTGGCCACATCGGATAAAAGTTATCGTCTTCTTACCGCTAACTGATATTCATGTATGTGGGTTGAGACGGATTTCCCAGTTTGGCTACAATACAGAGAATCTCAACTGACATATTAAATTTTGTAGACAACACCTTTTCTATCAACGTAGCTAATCCTGTCCTTTGGGTGTAACAGCTGTGAGTGCAAGGTAGCTGCAGGGTAGTGTGCTACTTGTGTATGATGTCTTCTCAGTTGTCTTTCGACGAGCTGAAATACATTTTTTACGTATGGGAGAGTTCAGCAGATCATTGTTTTAGTATCTGGGTAGCGGCGAGCGAGGGGGCAGGTTCCCCGCGAGTCTGCCTTAATTCTTGTTTCATTCGCGGTAGTTCGCTGCGTGCTGTAACCTTCGTGCAGCTTGCCCAACTTGCCTCAGTGTCTGCTTCGGCTTGCTTGAGCGTTTACTGCGGCTTGTTGGAG